GTCTGACCAATCCAGTCAACATTTTGACTACTTTAGCGACCAACCTTGGTCGCTATTTGGTTTTCACAATTTGTTTTATTATTTTTGCTAGTTTAGCGATCAACTTTGGTCGCTTTTTCCCATAGACCAAATTTGGTCGCTATTTTTTGATCGCTTTTTACAGGAATTCTAGTAGTGTGCGACCAGACTTACCAATTTCTCCTTGTGGACTTAAGCCATCGTTTGCCGTGAATCCCTTTAATTTGTCCACAGCTTAAAAATGTGCGTTCATTTCAACATAGGAGTATATCATACTGGTGTTTATATATATAGGTTTTAGGTGGCCTGGATGATTAATTAACAGACGCGCGCAGTACCCCGGCCCTTATGGTTAACAGTACTATTTTCCAACAATATTGTACAAGTGAAGTAGCTGCCGCGTGCATGTTTTACTATTATATTGTATGGCTGAATTACGGGGCAAATCTTCTTTGGCAATGAGCAAATAAACTTTGCACAAATTAAAATAGCTAGTGAAGTGAAGACGAAGCTGTTTGCCATAGAAGATTAGCCCAGTAATGTATCCACACACAGTTTGAATTTGAAGTCTCACTTGACCCTTTCTCTGATGAACATTAATTCTAATACTTGAAACCCGTTTATATAGCAAAGAGGAAAATGTAGTATTCTTTAATTGGAGTATATGCTATGTGTACAGGTCTCGAGGAATAATATGCATATTCTGAAATGCAAAATCTCATGAACACATTCTTTCTTTGACATTTGACGTCAAACAAAGAGTTAATTTTTACTTGTTTGAAATGGGAACATCTCATTTAAAAGTTTAACAAGTTAGAGAGATCGTATTTTATTTACTTAATATAAGTAAACAATCTCGGAATCAAGATTTGATAGTTTCAATAGGTTTGTATGATGATTTTGGACTTAAATGTATATTCGGATTTGGACTCGAAGGTTCCTATATTATGTCTTCAACAATACTTATGTGCTCGCGTATACAATGAAGCTGATCAAAAACCTAATTGTGTTATATGTACAAATAATTAAATGAAATCATATTCTTGCACATTCATAGGAAGTGCATAATTTTGAGGATGGTAAATAATTACGAAGATTGCTTTTTGCATCAAATCTTTTTGACTGTTTAATTTGTATGTTTTATATGGAGGTGTCTTTGACTCAATCTCGAGTTAATATATTATAATAATTGGTTTCATATCAATTATTTATAAATGTTTAGTGGATTTCTTACTATATGTAGAAAAAGTTACCGGGTTCACGTGTTTGTCACTGACTCACTTATTACATTTTCTTGCGGTTTAAGGCATGTCTCTAGAATAGTACACCTCTATTTGGAAGCAACGAGTTGAGTTGCTGGCTCTTAACTATTCCAAAAGACATGAAGAAATCAAATATCATTGGGACATCTGAACAGTTGAAAGTGAAGCATCTGAAACTTGTGGCTCCCTTTTTAGCTCTGGAATATCTACTGTCAAAAGGAGATCAAGGAACGAATGAGAGAAAAATCAAACCAAAAAATTAGAAAAGAAATTGAAGAGCACATTCCTGAGATTCTATGGCACATTCTCCTCCATCATCAACACAAGCTTTTTTTCTTACCGTTTTATCGAATTTAAGTCCCCCATCAACATCAACATCAACATCAGGTGCGGGTAAACTTTAACCGCCTCTGGCTTTTTGCATGAACTACAAATTCAATATTGAGAATCAACTATAACATGAGAACTGGAATAATAAGGCCCTCTTAACTTATCAAATGGTAAAAGCAATAATCTATCAACACTTTTTTTTCATGTTGAATTCATGGATTATGCATTGCAACAAAACCAATCATCTACAGTAAAACGTACAAATATTAGACGAAATATATCAAGAATGAAACTTTTCCAAGAAACTCAAGTATTATCCAAATAATTGACTGAAAGTTAAGTTACAATGTTATGTACTCCTAGTCTGGGTCAGATTCTCTCCATTTTAAATAAACCAATTCTGCAATAAAATTGATTCAACTGCAATAAAAGAAGTTTCTGCTAAAAGTTTAATTTAACAGTGCTACTAAGTAAGAAATGTTAAAGAAAAGATAAAGATTGATCGATTGCCTTATCTTTGGACATTAACAACATGAAATATTATTTTTATTCTATTTACCAATGGTATAACTGCTTTGCTACCTAGCATTTTGTCCTATTCCACATTACTTTACATTAGATACCAAACATATGCTACGTGAACTATATCTACAATAAGCAATTGATGCATAGCTAGAAGGTGGTGAATGATGCTATATTACGAAGTCTTGGTTTTGAATTTTTCCCAACTTTGACAAGTGGTCGGCGCAATTATTAACTTATCAAAGTATGAAGTAGAGAAGTTCCGACATGAGACACCTACACTCTTCCATTATAGCACGATCAAGATGATTTCATTAACATTTCTCAAAGTTAGCAATACCAGGACATCACTCGAGTTGGTTTCAATGATAAATTTCTTCAAGTTGTAATTTTTTTTGCTAGGGTTAGACCACCACGTATAACGCATACTGCGTGCAAGGCTTGTTTTCATTATAAGCTTGTGGTACAAGGCACATAAAGTGCCATGGTTTACGCACTGGATTTTAATTACTAAAAATACAACAACAACAATATAATAATAAAAGCCCAGTATAATCTCATAGGTGAAATTGGAGGGGATAGTGTGTACGCAAACCATACCACTAGTAAAGAGGTTATTTCCGATAGACCCTCATCTCAAGAAAAAGGGAACAAAAAGTTATATATATATGCTACATTATCCTAAATCGATTGGGAAAATACGATTTTGGAAAACAAAAAAGTCCAAAATGTTTAGGATTAGTATTTTAACATTTGATAAATAAATAAGAAGATCCATAGTCTAAGATTTAGATTTAGAAAAACTGCCAAAATGCTAGCTTTTTCACGCTCGCGCACGTGTCGTATTTTTATTTCCTTTTACCTATTTAAATTCCAATAAAGGATTTTTTTTAGTGCTTTATTTAAAAACAAATACATATAGTCCTAAAATAATGTCACGAAGGTTTTCTTTCAAGGGTGGCTCAAGGGGAAGGCTAGTAAAGCTTTTGGTTTGACCTCCTAAATTTTGGAGCTCCAAAATATTTTTAGTTGTGAATTTTTTATTTTATTTTAGCTTAGACAATATTAAAGTTTATAAATTAAAAAACTCCTGATAAAAGTTAGAAAGAAAAATTATCTAATTTTTAACAATAAAAATATTTAAACTTTAAATTAAGCTACTTAAATCTTCATATTGGTAAATAATATTTTTTAAAATAAGATCCAAGGTAACATATTATGAATATATGGGTAACATATTATTAACTTGAATTTTCTTACCAATGTAAATATTAATGCTCCATATTGTATTTTGTAAAATAATTACATTACAAACAAAAAGAAAGAAAAAAAAAACCAATGTAAATATTAATATTATGTTTTGTAAGATAACTACACTATAGATAAAAAGAAAAGCAAAAGAAAGGCCCCTTATTAAAATTTGATTTTAGGCCATGAATTTTGTTGAGACGCTCTTGTTTTCTTTATGGGGTAGTAAATTGATAAATTTTGAACTTTTAGTTCCTCCCACATTATTTTTTTAAAATTTTAAGTTGACATTCTTTCTGTAAATATACAAAAATGAACTTGTTTTAATCTAAAAAAGTGTTTAATCTTTGTTTTTTATATATATAAATATTTGGAAATCAAATTTTGGTTAAGGGAAAATATACCAAAACGTCTTCTGAAAATCAAACACAAGCTGTTGATGTAAAGCTTAAAAACATTCAAAATAGCGAAGAACGTCTTACCTGTAAAAACGAATAATGGAGATCCCAGTTCTTACAGTACATAATGTACATACCGAAACCTTTATAATCTATCCTTCTGGAAAAGATAACTAAAACCAACCAAAATAATTTTCCGTTTCTATGGTCAATCTATACTTCCAAAATATCATTTTCTATGGTTCTGGAATTTTACAACCTCAATATCTTTCTGTAAGCTAATTTTTCTTATGTAATATTTTTGGTCACCTGTCGTCTATTTCCTGTATGTAATCCGCATCCTTTGGACGGGTCCGTTGAATAACTGTCCAAAATAGTATAACTTAAAGAACCAGAACCGAACTTCAAGGGAAAAGAATATGTCCATCGTTAACCCAATGCACAAACTTCTCAGAGAATTGCCGATGGGTCTCCCTACTTTGTTGGGCATTAAAATTGATATCTTCAGTAGTCTGCTCCGTCTAAAGTAACAAGATTTGGAAAGTAAAAAGAATTACCCAGGCAAATTTATAGAGAAAACATGAATAACATGTAAAAAGCAGAAAATGAAGACGTACGATCAAGATTTTTATTACTCAGAAGCTTCCAGATATTGTATTGGCTTCATTTTTTAAGGTGAAAGTGCTATCTTATAATGTTGTTGCCATTAGATTATCCTCAAATAGTCTAAGATCTGCATGAACTAACCTTCAGGCTTGCCCCAGAATCATAAGCTGAGAAGTTTGTTTCTGCTTTAAGTTCATTTGTCACACTATCTGCTAACAGACCCCGAGATGGAGAACTTATGATTGAAGATCTGCACAAACAAGATAAGTTTTAGTTTTAACAACAAAATATTAAAAAAACTATGCCATTAAGTCCTTGTTTTCCTGAAATCATCAAGGCATGACTGCAAAGGTGGTGCGTCTAACCAGTAAAAAGTAAAAACATTTTCCCGGTTAGAGACATAAGACACAACAGAATTGATTTGACTAAATGATGATTGCTACTAAAGAGTCTTGTTTCTCAATGTATTATTACGTCAACTTGAATAGGTCAAAATATAGAAAAGCACTAAAAATGAACTGGGCCAAAAGCACTGTTCTGCTTTTGCACCACTCTGTCATTAATAGCTGAAGTCGCTAAGTTATCAAGCCTAAATACCCAAAATACTTTTACAGGCCACTAAAAACACCAAGTTGCATGATTCCTGAAGTTTGGGTCCTTGATGTTGCAGTAATACCAGCAAGAGAACTGAACCTCTTTGTTTTTGGGATAAGGAATAAGNGCACACTCATGAAATTTAACGCTGCCACTTCCGAGACACTGCTCTAACTGCATATCATGGAAAAACTGTCCACCATACATTGAGGGGGTGTACCTATCACAAGAAGAATGCGCACCAATTGTGATGAGCCATATCAAGTGAAAGGTGAAAAAGAACAAAATAAAATAAAGCAGTAATTTCTTCCGAACAGCATCACCTCAACCCCAATAAAAGGAAAAAAAAACTTAAAATGATTGGCTAAGACCCGTGTTACAAATTCCGATGTCTTTGAGCAAACAGAACTTTTCAAGCTGCAATACGGTGATACCTTAACTTCACATACAGCCATGAGGTTAAGCGTTATAAGGTAAGTTCAGTAATATATCATACATTCTCTGCACATATGGTCATAAGGATTTTAGGAGTGATAAGGGTTGGTCAGTAATGTCAATCACAAATAGATAAGCACCTGGCTGCCATTAAAAGTATTTCATAAAGACACATATACATTATCTTTGTTAAAATATACATGCAACAATACAAGGAGCATTCAAAATCATTCAAACTTCCAATGCATTGGTCCATGGAAGCATGAAGGAACCATGAGGGAGATGTTTTTGTACCATAAGTAGTAGTTAGCAGCTACTCGATAAAGAAATACCCGAGGACATCATGAATCACCTGAGTATGTTACTGCTCCAAATGAATTTATGAAGCATATAAATCTAAACCGAGCTACCTGGTAAACGAAATATCAGTGTCACATGTAGATATTTCTGGTGTGGACTCTGAAATACCCTTACAACCACCTTTGCCACAGACAGTCAAAGGCTGGTGAGCGTCTTCAGTCTGATCTATGTCTGTGTCTTTACCATGAGAGCTGCTTCCACAGCTTATGTTTCCTTCTGATAGCGACCTTTTAATAAATGACCTGCGTATTAACAAACTGCTTTGCTAACAGCTTTGATACAATTGTCTGGCAAACAGCAAAAGTATCTTCCTGTTCTGGATACTTGATCAGAACAGCAGATTAACTTGAAATACTAATCAGATTTAGGAGGCACGTTCTCCTCTTTTTAAATTTGCGGTGGACACGTAAATCAGAATCATCTTTAACCTTCATATCAGTGAGATGGTTACAACGCAGGCTGACAGTGAAGATGGGCATAAAACAGTGAAATCTCATGGATCAGCATGATATTATAAAACCCAAATATTGGTTTTACAATGTTTAAACCTTTAGTAAAAGCAATTTGGAAGACAGAAACAAGCCACAGCCTGGAACAGCGTGACAACAGCAAGATTGTGCTATCCACCGTGACACCAGCCATGGCACAACCAACTGCAGCGCTCTCCGCCTGGAAGTGGCAGATCTTCTCAAACATGGGCACCTGACACACTTGCTGTCAGATAAATTTAAGCATCGGTTCTCCCGTCCCAAATTTTGAATTAACTTCAGGAATTTATCACATGTTGCACAAACCAAAAGGCCATTTTAGAGCCAACCTGTAAGCTTCTATACACATCTACTTCTCTGATCTGACCCCCAAAAAAAGGCCAACTAATGGCCCCACAATATGTTCTCCTATTTTATAAAATATACATCTTCTTTTCATCTTTGTAGTCGGGAAGTCAACCTCATTGAACAGTGTATAATGTTGTGTCATAAATTACCGAGAGCACAACTTAAACAGTTCAATAACAATTTTTAATTATTCAGTCGTAAGAAAATGAAAAAATTATGTAGCACAACAGAACCTATATAAAGGAAGCAAGTTGAGAATGCACTCAGAGAAAAGGATCATGCATACCTAGAACTTTCTGCGGTTAGAGTTGATCCGTGCATCCTAACATCATAGTGCTGTTCTGGATTCAGTTCCCACAGAGATGGCTTTCCCTCTTGTGGCTGGAAATGGCCCAAGAACCTAGAAATGGCACCACATTATCATAATTTTTTTCAAAATTGCCCGTATCTTTTTGGAATAACAGCCTCATGGAACTTATTGCTATAGAAAGTATTCACATACACATTAATGGCATCTTGTTTCTCAGGGTCCATGTAGGCATTGCTGTAGTAGCGCTGAAGCGATCGGAAGAACTCTTGAGACCTCGTTGTTGCTTTCCATTGGCCTCGTATTTCTGAAAAAATCTGTTTGGGTTCCATATTCATCACTACGTTAGATGGTAACAGTGAGAATTTGATAAATGAAGAAGAAGCTACGCTTCAGTAGTGAAACAGTATGCAAATGTTTAGTCACAAGCAAAAAACTGGAGCATCAAAAACTGAACCGTGAACCACTAGCCCTCTGGGATTTCTCAGTTATCAAAAAAATATTTGTCCACCATTGCATCCACTAACATGAAGATATCTTATAAGAAGTGCATCATGAACTTAGATGGAGTGAAAGATCTGCTTCCACAGAACCAACTCATTACTATAGTTTCCATCAGAAGACTGCACAAGAAAATAACAGAATTTCTTGTAAATAGCAGAGATAGATTACCTTGTTATGTGCAGCAGAGCCACCATATTGTAGTGCAAGAGTGTCTCCCATTTCTTCGTAGATCCTCATTAGGTCATGTGCTATAGGAGAATGCGAATCAATGTTCTCCACATCTATAAAGCCTAAGGCATGCAGCTGATGGGTCAGTGCGACCAGCCCATACGCATACTGGCCAACATTTGTGCGATCCAAACAGTCTATACAATTCGTTCTTAAGACTCCCTTTTGGACTGTTGAAAGTTTGACATAGTAAGCTCCACGCAGATCATCACTCCCATTGTCCACTTCAACATCCATTTCATAGAGGTCCTTTTCAACATGGTCTCCACTACTGTCGCAGCTGCATCAAATAAGATCAACATGAAAAAGGGAAAGGAAAAAAAAGGAGATTTGATGCTCTTGAGAGTGAAGCAAATACGAAGTGGACATAACCCAGGTAAAAAGTTATTTTTAGCAGAAACTTTTTCAAATTTCAACTACTGAAAAATACTCAAGAAAACAGGTGAACATCAAGTTTAGCTTTAGCTTTAGGGGTCTCTCTCTCTCTCTCTCTCTGAGAGAGTGTGTATCTTGCATGAATTAATCCAATCTTTTATGCATTGAAGTGCAAGAAAAATAAAAATAACCAGCATGCAGCAAAACTATATGCACCAGACTGAGGTTATATTTAACTAACGCCTCAACTTATGTCCCAACCAACACATGTTGAATGCGAAGATACAAGAAAATCTGAATGAACATCTAAGTTCTGCAGCATAAGCAGTGTTGCAAGGAGTTCCTAAGTAATATAATATTTGAGAACAATTAACTCTCACGAACTGATAAACTAATATCTTTAAGAGGATAATTTGATTCGCAAACTCACCCGATGGATGACAGCTTTAGCAATTCCCCACTTCTTGATGTAGGGATTAGCTGACAATGGAAAAGGCCTGTTAACTCCAAAGCATTAACGGCCACCTCACCTAGACGTATCAAGGCCTTTGTAGCTTTGCTGTAAGAGAGATGCCAAATTGTCATGAAACCATAGATCAGTACGACAGATAAACAAAATAAGAACAATAATTACACAGGAAACATCAAAGATAGAGGCAGCAACAGCATACATTCTTGGGTGTTTGTTTAGATCCCAGTGAAGAAATCTCAACTGGTTGTCCTCAGGAAGATCTTTATTTATGAAGTCAATAGCATTAGCGAATTCTGCACGAAGAATCGTTTCTCTGGGCCTCTTCTCACGAGTCTGATTAACATAAAAAAAAATAACAAATAAAGCAAGGGAGAGAGTCTGAGAAGGTCAGAGTACCGCTTCGTAATGAAAAAGTAAGAATAATGGATTGAATACTGAAGCCTGCAAAAAATTACCTTAATTAAATTTAATATAATAACTGGATTTCCATATCTTTGAACAAGATCTTCAAAGTGAAGTTTGGTGGCTTCAAACTTGAGGTCCTTCCTAGACACTAAAGGGTAAGAAAGTTAACAAAAATTTGAGCAAATGGATACTCGAAAAAATCTCAAGTGTCTTTTGGACGTACATATGATGTCAGGTTTTAAATTCAAACGTGACGTTTCCTGAGACCAGAAAAGAGGTATTGAACCACGGTTCTGTACAACAGCGCTTACTCCAACAGGGGACCCTTCACGTACATTTTCGAACACAATCTGTTCCGTCTCGACGTCATTTGCTACATGACCCTTCTCATTTACTCCTCTTTTTAAATATCTGCGTGAAATAAAAGGAATTAAAACTCCACAACAAAAATTGTTAAGCACTTACAATGCTGGGGTCACATTATAACAACAAAAATGGTTAAGCACTTACTGATGTTGAGGTCACATAATATATAATACCTATCACATTATGCATTCACATGAAAAGTAATTAAAAACATTTAAGAGGTGCGAGAGCTTGCTTCATAATTTGGTGTGTACCTTGTTCCAGGCCACTTTCCAGGACTTAAAATAGCTAACAAATTTAGCACAATACAAAATCTATCTAAAAACAATGAAATTAGTGAATAGCAGGAAAAGGATGATATATGTTTCAATTGTACAAACCTGGTACCAGCATAATGACGAGAACGTCTAGCAATTAGGGTTAAGATGAAGTCCTGTGCAGAAATAGTAAGTGTAACCTGTTCCACAAACACGAGAAAATGATAAACTGTTGAAAGTACGATTCCATTTATGGTGTCATTTAATTGGTAACGCAAACATAAAATGTCACAAAGATATATTCTGAAATAAAATCATAAGCTATTTACATCCAATTGAGTACTCCAACTAAAACATATAGCAATATGGTATATCATATCAAAATGGCATCTTGCCCAGCTACGTTAGCTAGGATTTAGATTTCTGCTCAGTTACGCGTATAAATTTAGAAGAACAATTTCAAACAGAAAATACCTGTTTAAAGAACCCATAGACTAACGCAACTGTCCAGAGAGTATTTTGGAGCTGATTGTGGATTCCGCGAGTTAAGAATTCATTCCATACAAACATTGTCTCATAAAGGGTGAGTCCTGTCTCTGAGTTGCTCAGATTCTTTTGAAAACTAATCATAATAGGATAGGAGTAGCTGAAAAAGAAGTCCTTTGTGAGGTCCACCATGTGCAGGAGCTTTTGATATCTGTTTCCCGAAAAGAAGAAAAGAAACAAAAAGAGGAACCAAAAGAAAAAAGTGAGTTAACATAAATCTGATGCAGCAACTCAATATAGGGGTAGGGAAAAAAGTTTAGAAATAAGCAATATGAAATAAAAATTTCAATATGTGCGCCGCTGGAATCCTGAAGATACCTTGTCTCATTCAACATGTAAAAATTTGCCCCTGTAGTTTTGTAGGAAATAAACTGGCAATGGGCTCTATGAATGACTTAGCTATAAAATGCTCAACTATAGAATTTCTCAGTATACTCTTTCTGCGAGCATCTGAATGACTCGGTCAACATGAAATCCGTTGGGCAGTGAATGCGTTACAAGGTGTATTGCTAAAATAGTATAGCAATTATCTCAATAACATAGGACTTCGTACAGAATGCAAAGTTCAATAGTTACCAAACAGAAGAATATTAAAGTTATATAAAGATACAAAGAAATCAGAAGTGTTTTCGTTCCATTATAATGCCTTCCTAAAAGTACTACGGACATTTTACATTTACATGCAGAATTGACTAAAGACCTGTTCTCATCCTTAGAATAAGCCATATTGGAAAGCACAGTAGAGTGCGGAATTGGGAACATCTCGCTCTTAGTGATAGCATAAACAGCATGACCACATATCTTTCCAATCTTCCTTCTTTCCGTGATAACCAGGAAGTAATAAGGTCCCAAAAACTTTATAAAACCTAGAAGAAGAAAAGAAACATCAGTTGTGTCAAACATCATCACACATCTAATAAAAGGGTGACATTTAGAAAGTATAATATACCAATAATTCCGTAGCAGCGAGAAACGAATTTAAGCCCTCCAGTAGACGTGTTTCCTTCATGTATTCTTTTTAGGAGGTCTAAGCATTCAATTTCTGAATATGACGTAGGGTCTTCATGAATGATTAGTTCCGAAGGTTCTAATCTGTCAATCTTTAATACTTTCCAAAAAGTTCTGGTCTTATCCCATCCAACCATGTAGAAGTTCTGTCCCATATAAAAGTAAGTTAAATATCCCTCTAAACACCAATTAAGGTAACGTCATAATCTTCACACAGATCGAGTAATAGATATAACGACAAAAGTAATTAATGACTTAAAAACTGCGCAAAATGACACATTTAGGCAGATTCAGCAAATTCAGCATAAGAGAGAGATACAACCTACCAAAACGGGAAAAATAACTAAGGGCCAGATTGTTTCGAAGCTATAGTCCTAGATTCTCGGAGAGCAGATACACTGAATACTAGACGGGTAAACAGCGCGCGAGTCGGTACCTAAATCCGTACTCCATAGTATTCATTACTCATTATCGATGCATTCATTAACGTAGCCACAAGAAAATTAATGCACCTAGCAAACTGGACACGTACAGGAGCTCAAACACAACTAAGGGCACACCAATAAAACCACAGAGTTGATCAAAACAGTGAAATTAATTTATCTCTTGAGATCGAAAAGTTAATGACCATATCGTGATCTAAAATGAAAGAGTTGTACAAACCATGTGAAGAGTACAACTCAGCATTTTGAGAAAATATTTACTTACTCTGTCCCAATTTGTTTGGCATGTTTTGGCAAAGTCATTAGACAAACTATTTGGGCAAAATCAGACTAGATCAGTTTAAGTTAAATTAAGATATTTACACACAATCTCGGAGATTGTTTTGAAGCTGTAGCCCTAGAATCTAGGGGAGCAGATACGCTGAACGCTAGACGGGGTAAAAAGCACATGAATTAGTACCTAATCCATACTCCATAGCATTTATTACTCGTTATTGATGCATTCATTAACACATAAACGAGAAAACTAAAAAAAAGCGGGAAGCTTGTAGAACTTATAATGCACCTAGCAAGCTGGATAGCTCGAACAAAGTTAAGGGCACACCAATAAAACCAAAGAGTTGATCCAAACAGTGAATCAATATATCTCCTGAGATCGAAAAATTAATGACTATAAGTTAAAACCATACAATTCCGTTAATCTAAAACTACATTTGACAAAACGATTACTCTCTCCGTCCCAATTCATTTGACATTTTCCGCAAAGTCAACATACAAACTTTCAGACTGGAATAATTCAGATTAACATTTAGATATTCAAACACAAAACAGAGAACATTCTTAGTTGTGATTCTTCTAGATATCAAAACACGGCGAAAATTTTAAATTTTAAACTGTTAGTTTAAGTTCACCAAATTAGAATGTTTAGTCTTTTAAGTAACAGAGATGACAAAATGACAGCAAATCGTCGAACATATACCGAGCGAGTCTCATAAAGCCGGAACTTTTGCAGATAAAAGCCTCTGCTGTTTTCATGTGAATTGATTAAACGCCGTTGCTTGTCATCTGTCCCCATGCTTCGCAGCTGTTCCAAACATAAACAGAATTCTTCTTTTATCCCACATAAACTTTAGAATCATAATCACAAGCAAAAACAAAACAAAACAAAAACAAAAACTTGAAATTAAGACTGATAAATCAAAAACAGAAAAGAGCATAGGGAGAAAGAGATCAACCAAGTAAAAGAGTGAATTCTCGCCGACGGTGGAGGAGAGTGGTGAATGGCGGGGTTTACAGATCGGACAAGGAACAGCTCCGGCGACTATGTCCACATAATAAAATGGGTATATATATTTAGTTGGAAAAAAGAGTGTTCAATTTTTTGTACAGCTAAGCGTAAAAAGGAACTTTTCAAAATTGAGCCGTATAATAATTCAATCATCATCATGCTGTCGTTAATTTTCCTGCTTCTGAATTTTACTGTTTTTACCTGAGTACCTCTGCATTTACGTTTGTGGGCGTTTGGTTTTGATTTTTATTAAAATTTAAAAAAAAAAACTCTTTTACATTTTGATAAAGACATTAGTTGTGTCTCGATTATATTATTCAAAAATAATTGTGTTTTAATTAGACACTTTAATTCAAAAATAAAAAATAAATTTATAAATCACCATCATGCAAAATGATGCTAATTTACTCATATTTGTATATCTTAATTATTTCTTTTACCAAGTGTTATCAAAGTAGATATACGAGATCAGAAATGAATTGCTAGTCGGAATAATTTATGAATCGAGCGATGCTTTAATGATCTGATGATGAACTTTTTTTTCTAATTAAGTGCTCTCATAGTCTTGTAGGAAAGTTCGACATCACACGACTCATAAACTAGATTTTATGCAGGAACTATATATTTATGGTACGAAATTAATTAATGACTCGTGGCGCGAAAAGAATTAACGGTAAAATAATTATTTAATTATGCATTATAACTGTTTGCCAGATTAGCATGATGTACACTATCTAGAATTGGATTACACCAATATATTCGAAAAAAGAGATGCCATCAATATAAAGGAAAAGGGAAACGTTTGACATGTGTTCAGTAATAATCATAATTATCTTTTAACCAAGTGTTACTAAAATAGATATACGAAATCAGAAGTGAATTACAAGTCGGATCAATTTGCGAGCAGTTAGTGCCTCCGGTTTAATAATGACAAACTTCTTCTTCTAAATACGTGCTTTCATAACTTTTGGAGGAAGTTTGACATCACACGACTCGCCAACAACATATACATAATGCGAAATTAACTAGTGACTTGTGTCGCAAAATTAATTAATGGCAAAAATAATTATTTAGTTTTGGATTATAACTGTATATGCTAGATTAAAATGCAAACACTATTGTAGCATCGGATTGCATCAATTTAATCTGGAAAAATGATCACATCAGTATAACGAAAAAGGGAAATAGTATAAGGTTGAATGGTTGTACATCTATTTTACATTTGGAAAAATTAAATATGATCTAAGAAATTGGAGAAAATATTATTGTAATGCATAAAAGAGCAGCCTGGTGCACTAAGCTCCGCCAATAGAAGAAAAATAACAGAATTTCTTAATCAATAAATGAAAACATGAAGCCAAATAATGACTTAAAAGAAATTAGGCTATCGCTAAAAATAATTGGTTAGATTTAATTTATTTAAAAAAAAATGTTTTAGTTGTTTTAATTTTCTACAATTATTTTGAGTTTTGTTTTCAAGGTCAGTACATTCTTTACAAACAGACACCATTATTTTAGTTTTAATATATATATATATATATATATATATATATATATATATATATTAATTTTCTGCAGCTTTATAAAAATTAATATAAAAACAAAATGATTTGAGAGAAAAATATAAACCTTTCTCTTTCTTCAAATAACATGTAGCTTTCTTATTTTCAACTGCTATGAATTGATGATTTCTATCGTTTCCATCCAAGAATGATTTTTGAGAAAAAGTCAAAATATTTAAAAATTGGTGATGTTTATTTTATTAACTTTCAATTGTGCAAACATTTTAATAACATGCTGAAAATTACTCATTACTCCTATCACAATTTAAAAAGCAAAAACGGAGCTAGAAGGTTACATATGGATTTGACTAAACCTAATAGTTTTCGTCTAAACTCCGTATTCATATTAAATTTTTTATTAAATGTGTATAAAAACTAAATTTAAAACTCAATTACTAATACGTGATATTATTATCCTGGAATTTAGAATAAAAAAGAATCCTATGAGAGTCAACCACTACACTTGCCAAGAACAAAGTATTATGATAACAAATTCATTATATCTACGATAATAGTAATTTGACACATATTTTAAAAATGAGAGAATTTACCACGATTAGTCTTTTTTCCTTTTTTGCTAAGTATGAAAATTGAAATGAGATAAAGTTGGGATTATCTAACTTGGTTTATGAAGTAGTTCAACCAAAAGATTATAAATCGTCATGTGTGAAAGTTTAAATTAATCCAATGACTTCCTTCGTCCTCGATTAAATATATAGAAAGGTCGACATAAGCATATTGTTATCAATTATTTTATCAATTACCTACGTTTGTTATTTTGCTTATTTTTGTAATCGATAGAGTAGAAAAATACTAAATGACAATCTGATATACAGTTAACAAAGAAATTGCATAAAAAAAATATTACGGATAAAAAAATTCGACATAAGCATAATATTGTTAACTGTTACGGTTATTCTTATAATCGACTATCTCATTTAATTACGATTATTCTTATAACTAGAGTTTAAGATAACACAACATTAAAACACAATCATAATAGATAAGAGAATCACACCAAAAGGCATACTATAGAAAGGAGATATAGCTCAAAATATAAACTTAACTTTGATTTATCTGAATTAGATTTTCCTTAATCTCTAACCTTATCCGAGTTCAAAACAATAGAAATATTCCTTGGCCCCATCCAAAAAATAATGCTAATGTGAATATGCTATATTTGTTATTCTATATTCATCAGCAAAATAATGGGTTTCTTTTTTGAAAAGTTTAATAGGAAAAGGGCTAAAATTGCCCCTGAATTATACAAAATAAAGCACTTTTGTGCTCCGCTAATAATTGGGGTCATTTGTGCCTTTTTACATTTTTTAATTATGTAGAAATTCGTGTGAATATTTAGATTGTTGATAAAATAGAATTTGGGCACCTTTCAAACCTTATAGAAGAAAAGGAAAACTACCACCATGAAACCTTATACCATTCAAACTTTTATGGACGAAAATTAACTATGAAATTTAAATGAAAATTTGGGAAGAAATTTGGGAAGTCATTGCCTATTTAATTTATGGTTTAACATTGGCATGTTGCCTACCCAGTACATCATATTATGTGTACTGTAAAATAATCCCAAAAAGTATTTTTTTTCCAGTTCTATTTTATATCACATCCTGTTATGTTTTGTAAATAAAAATAATGACATATTCTTATATTTGTAAGTCTTTAATTTAATATTTTTACTTTTCTCATAATGACACGCTCTTATATATAGGGATTACATAATATTTTAAAGAAATTTGAAATATTACACAGCATGATTTTGCGTGTGTATGAAGCTCCTTTTTTTTTTTTTAAGAAAACAATCTATTACATAGGGGATTACCTGATTAAAGAAAGGGAATTAAAAGGAAGGAAGATGGTGAGAATTGTCTATACACTTATTGCGATAAAAAATTAAAAACACGAGACTATGTCTTAATTATTAACTATATAGTACTATATGTGTATTTAATTTAATTTAGGTGTTGATAGTCTTTCTTTCTTTTTCTTTTTTTTTTCTTTCAAACGTCCTACTCATTGAGTCTGTGTTAGTTGATTGATCAATACGGATTTTAAAAAAAGAAACAATGACTCTTAAAAGTTGTGTTTAAAGTAAGTTATAAATATTCTTATATAAACAATATTAATAAGGGTAAAATATAATTAAAACTTAATCACTCTTAAATTTAAAAAGATATTATAAGTTAAACAAACAATAACAAACTCGATGTGGTCCCATAAATAGGGTTACACAGCTTACCCCTACTTTGTGAATGTTGATAAATTATTTCTATTAGATTCTCGACTTAAGAAAATCATACAAAAAAAATACATATAAAGAGAAGCACGATAGTCAAAATATAAAATAACCGAAAAGATATCATAAAAAAGTGCATTACATAAATCTCGAGAGAGAGAAAGTATTAGTAGTTTTTAAACAATGATCTCATATTAAATTAAAAAAAAAAAAAGAGTAGATAATTTAGGCCAGGTGTGACATGAGTTGTTCAAAAGGAGTTGTCTGTAAATGACGTGGAAAATGTGAGGAGAGCACGATTGTCTCGTTGCAATTTGTTTAAGCAGATGTCTCATTTTTGTCATTGTTTGAACTGACAAGGATTAGCACGTGCCGTAATTACACACAATTATTGGCAGATGAAATCCTAGAAAGTGACTGCGGCAACTCTGTTGGTGTCAGCGCCACTACCCGAGTTAATATACGACAAAACCGATATGACACCCGCTGCCGCTTACGCTTATTTTTCGGCTGCATTCCGTATTTGATATTCGATATTATATCCCAATTAATTCAGATTTTATCGTGTAAAGTTCATTAAAAAATATATTCTTTGCCAGAATTTTCATTTTTATTTTTAGAGCTCGGATACAAAGTTTCAAACCAAACGGAACGGATTCTATTTATCCTAGACGATTATCATTTTATTAGTAAGGGATGGTTTGACAAAGTATATAAAAATAATACGAAATATGATGTATATAGTGATGATGGAATTAGTTATTCTATGATTATTTTTTATCAACTGCTTAATTTGGTGCATTAAAGGTTTTGAAAGGGCAATTTGTCTTTATACATGCTTATATATGTTCTACAACTATATTGCTAATGTCACGGTTTCTTATGTATGAGAATAATATTAAATATGGAGTATAACTAATACTTGTATTAATTACATATAGGTTGAAAAGCACTACCAAAAGGAGATTAATAATACCAAAGTTAAACATCCGTTTCAATTTATGTGAACCTATTTGACTAGACACGGTTAAGAAGACTTTTAAACAAGTGGTGTAAAATATGGCACATATATTTTGTGAGTATCTTGGGGAAAATCAATATTGCACTTGGAATTAATTATGTGGCTGACGTAGCAAGACACGTAGATCATTAGAAAAGTGACAGCCATAGAAGATTGCTTAAAGAAATGTGAGTCTCAATAGGCACGAGCAAAACATCTAAGAGACGAGAAAGAAACGGTTGCTCGAGTCTCTTTAGTAATTTGAAGAGGCATTGGTGGAATGAATCAAGACAGTAAAAAGGACAAGTTCATTGGTCTTCAATTA